AAAATGAAAGTGCCCTTGTTCCCATATGCTCATGTGCACATACGGATGCAAGTGTTGGTCCCGCACGTATATGTTAATGGCGATTGCACCACACACGGTACCGCTGCGATTGTCTGAGCAAGAGCAAAAATTCTAACATCAGATCTCCTCTGTAACTTTAAACTTGTACTCTTTAAACACTTTTTAGAATAGGTGTCATAGCACACTGCAAAGAAAATCATCCACAGGGGGGCAGAGCCTAACCATGGTGGCGTAGGAGAGCACGGTGTGGGTGCTCTCCATTGCTTTTCCACCTGAGTGTGGTGGGTCCTGGAGTGAAGACGGCAGTCCCGAGAGCGGTGAGGAGAAGGTGGACCACGGCATCAGGGTTTGCCGGAGGAAGTCCGGGCTGACATGCGGGGTTGCTGGGGAGACGAGGAGACGAGGCGTGACCGCGTGATCAGCCGCGGAAGAGTACTGGGTAGGGGAAAAGCCAGCCGGCGTCCCGAGGTGAAAGGGAGACGCCTGTTCGCCCCCCCAGTACACGGTTGAAATCTTTCATGGGCAGCTTACTCCCTGGGTGCAAGTGACCTATCCGCAGGGGAGTGTGATATGAAAGAGGAAGAGACCCAGAGGAATCCCCCCCCCTAAAGAGACCAAAGCTGACATCTGAAGCTTTCCGCTGGTAGTCTGAAGCCATCTCATCGGAAGAAAAGCAAGCAGAGGGTAAGTGTGAGCGGCTTGGACTGGGCAATATTGCTTAGTAGCAGGGGCGGACTCACCATTTGGAAACTCTGGCACTGCCCGAGGGCCCGGGGTCAGTAGGGGGCCCCATGAGATGCCCCTGGTACCTTTTTCATAGGCTTTTTTGAGTTTGGGCAAGGACACAGGGGTCCCATGATCCCCTATTGCTTGGGGGCCTCATGAGTTGTCAGTCCGCCCCTGCTTAGTAGTGACTGTTTGTTGCTTAAAGGGAAAAGAAGATATGTGAAAGGGGGATTCCCAGGGGGGACTGAATGAGATGAGGAGGAATTAAGCAGCCCTAGAAGGAGAATGAAGTGCAAAAGTGGACAACAATAAATCTGGATTAAATTTGGGTCCCTGGCGCATATTTCTTTAATTCACTGTGGTTCCTTTTTTGAAGAAAACAAGACGCACAGAAGAGATGAAGAATAAAAATGTTAAAAGTAGTGGGTTAAAGGGGTCTCAAACTGGTACAATAAAAAAATACACATCCCAAGGAAATGTGACTCCAGAAAGGTCTCAAGGTGTTGGTGAAAAAAGTGAACTAGAAATGAGTTTGGAAGGTAGCCCTAGACTCTCCCTGGGAATGAAATGTAGTAGTCAACAAGTAACAGGAAATTTGGAGATGAGAGAACTTGAAAGTGAACTACAAGTACCGAATAAGAAAGAGATGGCAGATATGTTTAAAAATCTAGAAAAAACAATAAAGCAAGAAATGGCAATTATACGGAGTGTGATTTAGGGCAGATGTTATTGAGGGTGGAGGAGACGGAGGAAAAAGTTAAAAATCATGCCCAATATATCTCTGACTTAGAAAAAAGGACAACAGAGATCAGGAAAGATAAAAAAAAATGCTTTACAAGATAGAGGTACAAGAAACTAGGGATAGGAGGTATAATCTTAGGGTAAGAGGAGTCCCAGACCTTTCAAAGGGGGGAAGAAGTACGAGGCCTAGTTTGTAAAATCTTAAACTCCATAATGGATAGACCTGAAACAGAATTGGTTAACCTGGAAGGTGTTTTTAGAATAGGAAAGCTCCAGCTGAAGGTATGAGAGGAGGGGGTGGGGGGGGAGGAGAGGGGAGGGTATTAGGGTTGACACCCTGCGTGAAGGAAGGAGTAATAAAAGCAAAGAAAGGAGAGGGGATGGTAGAGAGAAAAAAAGATATAAAAAAGATTAAGAAATACAGTTTTTACAACTTATAATGTAAATGGGTTGAATTGTCCTGGGAAAAGGTTTAGATTATTTAAGGAATTACAACATAGAACATCTTCAGTGGTTTTCTTTCAGGAAACGCATTTTGATTTAGAGTCAAATGTTAAGTTGAATTCTAGATATTATCCAACATGGTGCTATGCAGATTCCCCAATTAAGAGAGCAAAGGGGGTAGCTATAGGATTTGCAAAGAATATAAGGTTTGAGCTGGAGGATAGAAAGACTGATCCTGATGGGAGGTTCTTATTTCTGAAAGGTAAACTACAAGATATTGAATGTACAGTTGCTAACATCTATTGTCCAAATAAGAAGCCGGAGATATTCTTGAAAGGAGTTTTAACAAGATTGATGGATTTTAGGAAGGGATATATAATAGTAGCTGGAGATTTTAATTTATGTATGTATCCACAAATGGATACAACTTCTGTACAAAGAGAGGGGAGTAGGTCCCTGAGATCATTGAAGAAAGTGATAAAGGAGTATCAACTGGTGGACAGCTGGAGAATCATGCACATGAAAGATAGAGACTATACCTTCTTTTCAAATGCTCATGAGATGTATTCAAGATTGGATTATATATTGATAGATCAGAAGATTTTTTGAGGAGAACAAAACAGGAGATGTGTCGGTGGCTACAGTGTGTGAGGCCCATAAGGTGTATATAAGAAGAATCCTTAACGCAATTGGGGCAAAAAAGAAAAAGGAGAGAGAAAATTAGTGGACTCCTAAAGGAACTATCTGAGTTTGAACAGTTGCATAAAAATAAAATAACAAAAGAGATAATGCAGAAAGTTAAAAAAAGGAAAGAAGAATTAGAGAATATGATGGAAGAGGAAAAGAGGAGAGCCTTTAATAAAGTGATATGTGAAAGGTATAGATGGGGGGATAGACCAGGAAAGTTTTTAATGAGAGCCTTGAGGAAAAAGAAGAATAGGAACTATATAGATAACATAAAAAAACCCCAAGGGAGAACTGGTTCATTCAACTAAAGATATTGCGAAGGTGTTTAAGGATTATTATAGTAAGTTATATAATATGGCCTCCCATGATTCTATAAATAAGGATGGAACAGCAAATATTGAAAAAAGGATATATTTAAAAAATGCAGGTTTACCGAAATTAAATGAAGAACTATTAAATATCCTAGATTCTGAAATTACATATGAAGAAATAAAAATAGCATTAAAAAGCTCTATGACGGGGTAAAAGTCCGGGGCCAGATGGATACACTGTGAGATATTATAAAAAATAAAGTGAATTGTTAATACCTAAACTGAAGATCTATATGAATGCTTTGGGGGGAGAGATGGAAATGAGATGGGAATCCCTGCAGGCTCAGGTGGTTCTTATCCATAAGGAAGGAAAAGATATCTCCCAGTGCTCAAGTTATAGACCAATATTGTTATTGAATACAGATACGATGTTCTATGCAAAGATCTTTGCAAATAGGCTGAAAGATTTAATACCCGAATGGATACATGGGGATCAGGTGGCTTTTGTCCAAGGGAGAGAGGGCAGAGATAATGGGTTGAGATCTTTGTTGCTCATTCAGAAAAGTAGAAAGGGGAAGACTCCGGTGGTGGCGCTTTCGATAGATGCGGAAAAGGCATTTGATAGAGTTAATTGGGGGTTTATGATGGACACATTGGATGTTTTAGGAGTGGGAGCTAGAATGAGAGAGTGAATAGGAAAGTTGTACAAGGGGCCCTCCGCAGTGGTTATGGTAAATGGGGAGATATCGGAGTCTTTTGGGATGTCAAATGGAACAAGACGGGGCTGCCCATTGTCCCCATTGTTGAATGTTTTGTCCTTGGAATCTTTGTTGTCAACAATAAGGAAAAATGTAGATATAAACGTATAGGAAATACTTAACATAAGGTGGCCGCTTTTGCGGATGATTTACTGTTTTATGTTGGAAATCCTAAAATAACACTCCCTAATCTAATGAGAATATTGAAGGAATATAGGGAGTTGTCAAATCTAAAAATCAACCTTACTAAAACGGAGATATTAAATATAAATCTTCCAAATAGTGAAAAAGAAAAGATACAAAGGGAGTTTCCCTTTGTTTGGAAAGAGAGAGAATTAAAATACTTATCAAATTACATATCATTGTTAAATGAGATTAGGGAGGAATTAAAGAGATTAGGAAGAGGAAACCCGTCCTGGATAGGGCGCATAAAATTTGATAAAAATGATATGTGTCCCCAAAATCCTATATAAATTTCAAATGGTTCCTATCAAACTCCCAGAAGTATATTTTAAGATAATTAAAAAGATGATAACAAGATATATATGGAGAAATAAAAAACCTAGAGTATCCTATGAAGTGTTAAGTAGAAATAAAGAAAAAGGTGGATTGGGAGTGCCAGATTTTAAGAGATATTATAAAGCAGTAATTTTAGCAAGAATATTTGATTGGACGTATAATTCAAAAGGGAAAAGTTGGGTTACAATTGAAAATTCACTTAGTGGAAATAATTTAAGTAAGATTATATGGGTGCCAACACAGTATAGAGATTTAAAAGAGAGCACGAGTTTGTATACTTTAAATGTTTTAAGAGTGTGGGATAAAATGCACAAGCAGATGAAGTGGAATTTCAACTAATTTTTAATGCCATTGAGGAACTCAGAGTTTTTTCCTCTAGGTAGAGAGGAAATTTCAGGAAAATGGATTAAGAAGCAGGACGCCCAGTTGAGAGATATATATGAAGGGGGTAGAAATGAGATCACTTAAGGATTTGGAAAAGGAAGAGGGAGAGATTTTTACTAAGATAGATGTGTGGAGGTATAATCAATTGAAATATTATGTTGGGAATCTTCTGAAGCCTTTGAGACCTAGAAGAGATTGGAATTTGTTTGAGAGGTTGTTGGAATCACGGGGAGATGGGAAACATGGCACTGCTAAAATATATAAAATTCTCACTGAGTTAGACACAGACACAAAACTAATGTATATAGCAAAATGGGAAAGAAATTTGGGGGTTGAGATAGAGGAGGACAAACAGAAAAAAATATATAGATTGATTCACGAGAATATAAGTATGCGTGAGGTGGAAATGATTATAAATGTTTGATAAGATGGTATATTACACCGAGTGTAGAACACAAGATGAGTGGGGAGAAACTACCTTGGTGTTGGCGGGGGTGTGGAGAGATAGGCACGGTGTATCACATATTGTCAGGAATGGACTCGCCAATAGTGGTGGGACTCACCTGCCTTGTGGGTTGCAGTACCAGGACTGGCCAGTGGGTGCTCTCAGCAACCAGAGGCTCACTCCTGCAGTCAGCCAAAACACCTGAGGCTGATTGCAGGAGGTGCATATAAGAATTGGCCAGACTTGCAATCAGGGCCTTGGTGTGTGTTTCCCAAGAGCCCCTGTACCTGCATCCTGTCTGCTTCCTGTCTGATCCTGCTTGATCCCTGACTCTGATTGAACTCCGCCTGTCCTGACCTCTGCTATTCCTGACCACTCTCCAGTCTGCTCCGTTGGTACCTTGTCTGCCTGATTGTTCCTGACCCGGCCCGTCTGACTACGCTCTGCCTGCTCCTTTGTACCTTGCCTGCCCGTTTGCTACCGACCCGGCCTGCCCGACTACGCTTACTATTGTCCTTTTGTTATCTGTTGGGGGTTTTGGTTTGGTTTGTTTGCACTGTGTTTATGTTTAGTCTTGCACTGCGTTTATGTATTGTTTAGTCTTAAATAAATTATATTGTTTATACTATATCTGAAGCCTGCGTTTCCCTGTGTCAGTCCACACACCTCTGGTCATACCCGGAGCCCTGACACATATGGTGGGAGTGTCCAAAAATACAAGTATTCTGGAAGAAAATTGTACATCAAGTTAGGATGATTACGGAAATAGACGTTAGATTGGACCCTGGAATTTGCCTTTTTCATAACACAGAACTATCAGTAAATAAATATAAAGAAACGGGTGTATGGTACTACTTAAATGCAGAAAAAAGTTTGATACCAAAGTTTTGGCGTAAAATAGAGGTTCCAAAGGAAGAAGACTGGATAGATAGAGTGGACTAGATTGGTAGGATGGAGAAACTTATTCACATGCAGGAAGATAGGTTGGGGGCATATTACGCGAAATGGAAAAAATGAGAAGAGTTTAGATTGAAGGTGAAATGATGAAGTGGTAACTTTTATAAATAGGAATACACTTCTTGCTTTTTGTATGGAGGATGTTGAGAAGCGCAGGGTGGATAGTTGGTGGGGGGAGGGGGTGTGATGGAGAGAAAGGGAGGTTTTGTTAGAAGGAAGGGGTGATGGGAGAAGTGGGAAAAAATATTGTGAATGTGTAGTTTCATGAGAATGTAAATGGAATATGTATTGTTGGTTTTTTTTTTTTTGAAAATTAATAAACATTTAAATTGAAAAAAAAAAAAAAAAAAACACTTTTAGAATAACAATAATGGAGATTTTCTATTTACTCTGCATAACATATACGTATTACCAAACAATTGGGTATTATACTGTGTTTTTGTGCATTAAAATGCATTAAAGTGTATTTTAAAAAAATCGTGGTTGAAAAACCGCTGCACAAATACTGCATACCTAAAAAATATGCAACACCCACCATTTTATTCTCTATGGTCTCTACTTAAAAATATATATAATGTTTGGGGTTGTTGTAAGTAGTTTTCTAATAAATGTTTTGTACACAAAGAAGAGGAATGTCAGAATTGGCCTGGACTGGAAGTTGTTAAAACAACACCAATGGAACCAATGCTTAAAATGATTGTTAAAACTACAATAGCAAATATCGGCTTATGAAATTAACCCAACATTTCACTCATTTAACCCCATCCAAGAAATAGATCCCACACTTTCACACCCACAAGTCCAATTTCCTGCTGCAATGCCCTCAAATTTTTAAAATGTCCCCAATCAGATCCTCATAATCTATAATAAATGTTCAACACTCATTATCTGTTATCCACACTCTACCCATCCTGATCCTAAGCACGAGAACTCTTGCTACAGGAAATTACAACAATGAGATACACCATTGCACGCTAGACTATCTGCAACCAAGCACCCTGAGAAACTTTCCACCCCTGTTTACTTTCCCAAAATGCCACCTGTACTCCTACTCATACTCCTCTCCTCCGTTCCCAAAATCTCTTCTCTTTATCCCTTTACTCCTCCCAAACAACTATACATCACGCCCTCACTGCTTCCATCTCCCCACTACAGCTCCCACCACCTCCTCCTGACACTCCACTCTCCCTCTGACCCGAACGCCACCACTGGTAGACTCACACGCTCTTATACATCCCGCTCCCATGCCACCTTTCTCACCCTTCTTCTTCTCCTAACTGCGGGGGACATCTCCCTCAAGGCACCCTCCTACTTCCACGAACTGCCGCAACCCCTCAACCCAATACTTGTCCCCCTGCTCCCCAAAACCACCCCTCTGTTTTCATGTGCACTCCTGAACTCCCGATTGGTTTGCAACAAACTCACCGCCATCCACAACCTCTTTGTCTCCCACTCTCTCAACCTCCTAGCGATCACCGAAACCTGGATCCAAGCCACTGACTCTACCTCCCCTGCGGCACTCTCCTATGGAGGTCTCACCTGGACCCACTCACCCAGACCCAGCGGTCGAAAAGGTGGTGGGGATGGTATGCTCCTGTCACTGCTGAGCACCTTCCAAGTCCTCCCAAACCACCCTTTCTATCCTTCTCCTGCTTTGAGGCCCACTGCATCCGACTATTCTCTCCAATCCTTCTGAGGATTGCAGTAATCTATTGGCCTCTTGGACCCTTGTCCTGCTTCCTCGACGACTTCTCCGCCTATTTACCTCACTTTCTCTCCTCCGAGCTACCCACCATCATCCTTGGAGACTTCAACATCCCTATTAACATCAATAACCCGGCTACATCTCAACTCCTCCACTTAACCTCTTCTTTTGCACTCGCACAGTGTATACAGTCCACCACCCACTCCGACGGGAACACCCTGGACCTTGTTTTCTCTCATCTCTGCACCCCCCACAACCTCACTAACACCCCCTTTCCTCTCTCTGACCACAACCTCATCACCTTCTCCGTCTCCTCGTCCTCAAACACCTACCCCTCCAAACGTCAAACTATCACCAGCCGAAACCTCCGCAACTTGAACCCTGCCCCCTTCCACTCTGCAGTTGACCAACTTTACGACAGTATCCTTCCCCTGTCCTGCCCTGGCCACTACTGTTTATAACAACTCGATGTCAGCCCCTCTTGACTCCTTAGCACCCCTGATCACACGAAGCATTAGACCCCAACCGCTTCAACCCTGGCAGAATGACCATACCAAAAATCTCAAACGATGCAGTCGTGCGCTGGAGCGACTATGGCACAAAACCAGATCCCAAGAAGCGTTCGCCCCGATATAAATCTGCCTTCCTCACCTACACGTCCTCCCTCAACGCTGCCAAGCAAGCCTACTTTGTAACCCTCATCAATACCCTCTCCTCCAGTCCTCACCGGCTCTTCTCTACTTTTAACTCTCTACTCTCTCTGCCCCCACCTCCACCCAGAACCTCACTCACCGCCCATGAGATTGCTAACCACTTCCAAAGCAAGATCGACGCAATTCAAAGGGACATCGCCACTGCTCAGACTTCCACCCCACCTAGCTTCCCTCACACGAAAACCCCCTCAACACTCCTCTCCTTTGACCTCGCCACTGTCCAGACCTCCACCCCACCTAACATTCCTCACAGTAAAACCCCCTCAACACTCCACTCCTTCAACCTTGCTACCACTGAAGAGGTCACTAAGGTCTTCTCTGAAGCTCGCCTTACCACCTTGACCCTGTCCCCACACAACTCCTACGATCACCCTCCTCCTCCATCCTATGCTCCCTCACTCACATCTTTATTATCTCCCTCTCTTCTAGCGCATTCCCCTCCCCTCTGAAGCATGCGCACATCACTCCCATACTTAAAAAACCCTCCCTGGATCCCACCAACCTAAACAACCTTAGACCCATTTCCCTGCTGCCATTTACATCCAAACTCCTTGAGAGCTTAGTCTATAATCTATAGTTCCAACCTCAACGACAACAACCTCCTTGATCCCCTACAGTCTGGCTTCCGTCCCCTACACTCCACCGAAACCGCCCTACTCAAACTCACCAACAACCTGCTAACCGCCAAAGCTTCTACTCCTCGACCTCTCTGTGGCTTTCGACACAGTTGACCACCCCCTCCTCTTCAAACAACTATACTCTCTTGGCCTCAGAGACTCCGCTCTCTCCTGGCTCTCTTCCTATCTATCACAGCTCTCCTTCACTGTTACCTATAACGCTGCCACCTCCCCCTCACTCCCCCTCTCTATTGGGGTCCCTAAAGGTTCTTTCCTCGGGCCCCTTCTCTTCTCCATCTACACCTCCTCCCTTGGCCAACTGATACACTCCCACGGCTTCAACTACCATCTCTATGCCGATGACACGCAAATCTATCTCTCTACCCCTCGCCTCACCCCTTCAGTCTCTGCCCGAATCACTAGCCTGCTGAACGACATATCAGATTGGATGTCACTCCACTTCCTCAAATTAAACCTTTCCAAAACCGAGCTCCTAGTTTTCTCCCCAGCCCGTGTCCCCCCCCCTCCGACTTCTCCATCATGACCAACAACGCCACCATCAGTCCCCACCCTGCAAGCCAGAGTGCTACGTGTCATTCTAGACTCCTATCTGTCTTTCCAGCCCCAGGTCCAATCGCTGACAAATTCATGCAGACTCCACCTCCGCAACATCTCCAAAATACGTCCATTCCTAACCCCAGAAACTACTAAGCAACTCATTCACTCCCTTATTATATCAGGACTCGACTACTGTAACTCCCTCCTCACCGGCTTACCTCATCACAGGCTATCCCCGCTTCAGTCTATCCTGAATTCTGCGGCCAGACTCATCCACCTTACTAACCACTCCGTATCTGCCACCCCTCTCTGCCAATCCCTCCACTGGCTTTTCCGATTGCCCAACGCATAAAATTCAAATTACTAACATTGACATACAAAGCTGTTCATAACACTGCCCCAAACTACATCACCCTCCTGATATCCATATACCACCCAAAACGTACTCTCCGCTCCTCACAAGACCCCCTACTCTCTAGTTCCCTGGTCTTCTCCTCCCATGCCCTTCTCCAGGGCTTCCCCCATCCTCTGGAATTCACTACCCCAATCCATCAGACTGTCACCTACCCTCCCCACCTTTAGGCGCACCCTGAAAACCCATCTCTTCAGGGAAGCCTACCCCGCCCTCTCCTAATTGCCGATCTCCTCCATTCTTCCTACCACTCCATCCCCCACAGCTATTTCCTCCTGCACCACTATCCCCTCCCTCCTAGATTGCAAGCTCCAAGGAGCAGGGCCCTCGAACCCCTTGTGTATTGCACTGTATTGTTACTGTACTGTCTTGTGTACTGCCTCCCATTATAATGTACAGCGCTAAGGGTGCTATATAAATACTGTACAATAATAATAATAAAATAATAATCCACACCGAGCTGCCAAAAGAAGATGGCTATCTGATCCATTATATAGGTTCTACATTCTGTTCATGAATGAGAGATGTAGCTTGAAGCTTGTGGGCCCAGATGCAAAAGTTGACCTGGGTCCTCCCCACTACCATCCGCTGCTTCCTCAGCATGCCTAGATACTCCCACCAAGCACCAACATACTCTTAAGTGGCTAAATAGTTATTTCAGAGCTTTATCTATATATTGAGAGGGTAATTCAAACGATTTTGAAGAAACTGTTCACATTTTGACACCTTTTATTTTGAATACCTGTACACAGAGTTTGTAGAGGCCTGGAGAGACCATCCATCTTAGGATGGACCCTACCACACGGGCGTCCAAACTATGGCCCTCCAAGTGTTTAGGAACTGCAAGTCCCATGAGGCCTTGCAAGACTCTGACATCCACAGGCAAGACACCTAGAGGCATGATGGGACTTGTAGTACTTCAACAGCTGGAGGGCCAATGGGGAGCCTGAGCCAAT